TTTTCCGCTGGGTTGTGTTCTCACGGTGTAGATGGGATGCTGACCGAAAGAGGTGACAGGAGAACAGGTATTTAAGATGTACAATCTCGCAGTCGTCTCTTATTTTCTTTGATGTTGCAGTACAATTGGTGGCCACAAGATGAAAGTTATGACAATGCACAAGTTCATTTCCACAGCGTTCCGCAACTATGACTAAGAAATAAGTATTACAACAACAATAAGAAATGCCGCATGATTCAATGAGATGGTCCGAAGATAAAGCATCGTGACATTGCCATCTATCAATTATCTGCATTTTCTAAAGAGGTGGGTGAAATGGTGCTCACTTGATGATATGTATGGGCATGAAACGTGGTATATTAATTTAAGCGAAGAACATAAAATATAAATATCTGAAAACAAAGATCTGAATAAAACATTTTGGTCTAAGAAGGGAAATGTGAGGAAGCAGTTAATTATATCACATAAATAATAACTTTCTGATGTACACATATCACCTAGAATTGTTGAGATACTGAAATCTAGAAGGCTGCGATGGGCTGGACATATTATGGTGGGCGAGATAAGAAATGCAGAATGTTGGTGGGGAAGTCACTTTTGAGTAATTCACAAATGAGATGTAGAATGAAATTCACGGATAATTATTATTATTATTATTATTATTAACTGCAAATGGGTTTTTACCCGGTGGCAGTGGTACTACAATAAGACACAACAAAACAATTTGACAGAACAAAACAATTAGACACAAAAAACAATAAGACACAACAAAACAATAAGACACAAAAACAATGAGACAGAACAAAACAATAAGACACAACAAAACAATTTGACAAAACAAAACAATAAGACAGAAAAAACAATAAGACACAACAAAACAATAAGACACAAAAAAACAATAAGACAGAACAAAACAATAAGACACAAAAAACATAAGACACAACAAAACAACACACCACACTCAAAATAAAACAATCATAAGATTACAAAACCATAAGGATAATATTCAGATGGATGTCGGGAAGATTTGTCGTGAGGTTGTGAGGTGAATGAAACTAGCCGAGGACCATAAGCAACTACAGTCTTTGTTATGGGTGACAATGAACCTGTCATGGCAACACACGGAATGATTTCGTCTGGTTCATGACAAGGCCAGTGACAGGCCATTGCGAACACAATGTTAAACTTTCGGATTCCACACATGGCCTAGAATCTACCTTGACTAGGTCAACTACTGGCAGCTTATCAACTACTTATAAAGGCGAGTATCGTCATCATTTTTGCAACACTAAGCTTCTCAAGTAGGACTTTGCTCCATAAAGTTATGGAGGTAAATCTATTTATATTTGACAATGTGGTTACTTTCTTATTTTAGTTGCAAATGATTAATAAAATAATAACACATACAAATCGGTACTTTTCTGTTATCGTGTAGTATTTTTAGATACGGGAATAAGTTTTCCATTTTGCTGTACATACATGGATGTTTACAGTACGTCCACCGCGCAAGCAATGCCGGCAAAGCAGGCACAGAACAAATGCTTCAGATGCCACCAAATTTGTTTTGCTTTATTCGTCACACTTTGGGAAGTTAAAAATCTTATTAATTACATTGCTTTGTTGGCTTGCATTGATACTGTATTCATCACGGTGTGACGAGCGTAAATGGGCCTTTATACTCATCTTAGCATGATACCGCAACAGAGGACGTACTATTCACAAAGAACCAAGTCTTCCAGCATGACGTACCTTTTACCTCTGAAAATGCAATAAAATTAATAGAAACCAATGAATGAATTATATTTTTGGACTGTAATTGATTCTGTTACAGTCTTCTAAGACGTAAATAATGGACGTCATTTTCATCCGTCTAGTTGTATATGTTAAACATGGTGGTTGAAAGAATATTTCTGACATGCACTAACGATAAAATAATATCAAGTACATTCTTATCCTAGTTTATCTTCCACGGATTAAGAACTTCGGGCTGATCCCTCTCAAAATTAATAAACAGTGAATTTCTCGACGTACGACTGGCTTTTGGGAAGAATAAACAGTTGCCTTGGCCTCTCCTACCACAAGACAAGACTGGAAAACATGATAAACTGTTCTTCGGAAAAAATAACAGCCAGTCTATATTTTAGTTTGTTATTTGTGTCTTAGGCTACTTAACGACGCTGACAGTAACTCAGACTGTAGACCTACAGATCGGAAGGAAAGGATGACTGATAAACTCCTTGTAGCGAAATCTCTCCGAAACATTATTTAAGAATGTAGTCCCTACCGCAACGAAAAATCAACCCCCTTACATTTCAAGGATCAACTTGTTGATGCTGTTTAAGAAATAATTCCAGTTTACAGCGAGAAACCAAACCAAACCCATTAATACAAAATTCAGAGTTATATATTGTTGAAGCAGGTGGTACATATAGTTACCACTAAGTAATAAAGGATAACTAATGAATATTTTCGGGTTTG